AAATATTTACAAATAAATGTTGGCAGGATGTGGAAAAAGAGGCCACTTCCAGATTTGGGGAGAATAAACCAAAACAAAAGTGGCAACATCTGCCATCTGAATGGAAAGGACGAGGTTAAAAATCATGTAAAGTACAGGTACAATCTTTAGAAAAACTAATGTCTATTTTTAGCTTTGAAATAATCACAATAGAATTTTAAGCAAGGTACTGTTCTGAGAACTTTATGTATACTAGCTCATTTCATCCTCACAGCAACCCTACATGATAATTTACCATCATCACCCCCATTTTAAAGATGAGAAAGTAGTTAATTTAAGGCAAGTTTTCTAAATTGACATTTGACATTTGGGGCCAGATCACTTTGGTGTGGGGGAGCTGTCCTGGGAACTGTAGGATGTTTAGCAGTATCCCCGGCCTCTGCCCACTAGGTGCCAGTAGCACCCTCCAGTTATGACATCCAAGAATGTCCTAAGCACCCCCGCGACCCCGCCCCAACTACCCTGCTCTGGTCCTAGTAAAGGCAAGGCCAGGGTGGAGGGGTGGGAGCATAGGAGAGGTGGGGGTAGGTGGGAGGTGATTACACTTTCCCACTTACCCTGAAGACAGGTGATAGGTATGGCCAGGTGACTTGCTTTGGCCATGAAATATGGCGAGGAATTTTAAAAGCCAGTACAGGGTCCACATCCCCTTTCCCTCTGTCTGGGATGGCAAAAGCTCCATCACTCAGTTTATAGGAAAAACAGAGGAGAGAGGAAAGTAGTAAAGAACACCATGAGGTTAAAAAATAAAGGGGGGGGGGGCATGGAGAAAGAGCTAAGACTTAGATAGGCTATACATAGTTTAAGAATTAGATGTAAGATAGATTATAGATCAAGAGATAGAACAACCAGACAAGGTATGTGAAATTTGTTTGGAACTTGACTCAAAGAAACCAACATAAATACACAGAAGACAGTAAGAGAAATGTGAACAATAACTAGAGAATTGATTATATGAAAGAACTGTTCATTTGTTAAGAAACAATAGTGATTATGTAAAGAAAAAAGTCTATCTTTTAGGGATAGACACAGAAGTATTTACAGAAGAAATGCTAGGTCTTGGATTTGCTTCAAAATATTCCAGCTAGGGCTGGCCAGTTAGCTTAATCGGTTAGAGCATGGTGCTGATAACACCAAGGTCAAAGTTTTGAATCCCCGTATTGGCCAGCCATCAGGAAAAAAAAAAAAAAAAAAAACAACCACACACAATAGCAACAATAACAAGAAAACCATGAGGAGCAAACCCCACCCCTGTGGGCTGCCCCCTCCCAGCCGCCAAAGAGGGACAAAACCTACTTCATCATTTTTGGAAGTAACTATCACAGTAACTCCATATTCTGTAAACTGGAAATTAAGGAAAAGAATTTAGCATTTGTCCTGCCTTTCCTGCTTGCTGTATTTCAAGGTGATCAAATTGCACTAGTTGACAAGGGAAAGTTCTTATTTACAAAAGAATCCCAGGTAAAAAATGTAGAAGATATGATACAAGGAGGAAATCATCATTTTACAACCCTAAATGAAATGAAGTAGGCAAAGGTTGAGTGAAGCTTTGCAAGGGAGGGACTTGGCTGTCACATGAACCCATGCATCCATTTTAGCATCAATAACAAGGGGACAGTCAGTTCCTGAGAGTGTCCTGTTATGACGCAACCAGAATTACACAACACCAGCAGTGAAGTACTCAGCTAAGAAGTCGGGTGGACCTGACTTTAATCAAGCAATCTAAAGCTAAGATCCAGTTTATAGAAAATACATGAGATACAGGAAAAAGCCCAAACCATCAGAAAACAAATTCAGAAAGTGAAACAGGACAACACAGAACAAACAAGTAGGGGCAAGAGAGTGCTGTCTGGGATTAAGATATTTAAAAACCAAATGCCATGTGTGGACCTTGTTTGGATTCTGATTCAAATAAAGCAACTGCAAAAAATAGAGACAATCAGAGAAATGTGAATCTGGATGATATGCAAAAATTGTCAAATTTTTCCAGGTGGGGTTATGACATTGTATTTATGTAAGCCAACATCCACAATTTTAGGAGATGTATATTGAAGTGTGAAAGGGAGAAATGGTGTGGTGTCTGGAATCTGCCTTTAAAAGATTCATGAAGGAAAGAAAAGCGGGGAGGGACTGAAAGAGGGCAAAAAAGCAAGCATGGCAAAGTCTTGATAATTGTCCCATCTGATGTGAATGACACACCAAATAGATCATTTGCTCCACTACTGCGGTGGTCTGAAGTATTTCATAACGATATAAAATTTTTAGAAATTATGGCAAAGTCTTGATAATTGTCCCATCTGATGTGAATGACACACCAAATAGACCATTTGCTCCACTACTGCGGTGGTCTGAAGTATTTCATAACGATATAAAATTTTTAGAAATTGAGTGTAACTGCAGCTCGAAACCTTAGTTTCTGCACCCTCTTTTAGCTCTTGCTCTACACTGCCTTATCTTCAGTCACCAGATGACTATTTTCTTCCTACACAGTCCTGCCTCTGAATAATTTGCTTTAAGTCTGCGGCAGCCAAGACTGAATCATGAAAAAAAAACCAAGGGCAATGCGCAATGTTTCCAATGTCTGCTGAAGTTCACTAGCTCCTTCCTTTCTGAGCTTTAAGACTGTGAGACGTTAAGAGAGTAAAAAGCAAGTTCTCATGGTACACCTCCGGGCTACTTGCTGCTGGAATCAGAGTTCGCGAAGGTATATTTCAGTTTTACTTCATGTTTAGAGAAAATCAGACTATTTCGCCTAAGTTTATTTGCCCTGGTACACCTCCGGGCTACTTGCTGCTGGAATCAGAGTTCGCGAAGGCATATTTCAGTTTTACTTCATGTTTAGAGAAAATCAGACTATTTCGCCTAAGTTTATTTGCCCCCCCAAAAACAGATGAAGAGTACGTAAGGGGACGCTGCTGGCCAAAATTAACCACCCAACTATGTATAAGGCGAGCAAATCGGCATTGGAAGGAACCCACACCTCCAGGCCTCGTCTCTCTGCCCCTCTTCTCCCAGAGGCCTCACTGGCATTAGGTTCCCTGGGCTCAGGTGGAGGGTCAATGAGACTGAAGAGGCCCTGAGAAAGGACACAGAACACCCTGCCCCACGTCAAAGTTGTCAGGAGGCAGCCATTCCATCTAACCTGCCTTCCCTTCTCTCCTTTCCAGTCCTAGCACTTCCCTACCGCCCTCAGCATGAGATCTCACAACATACAGGTCAGAGCACTGGTGGCTTGGGTGCCACTATGAGATCAGGTCCCTGCTTTATCTTCTCCCAGACCTCTACCCATATTATTTTGAACAGAGCATTTTAACCTAAAACCTAAAGTATAAACTTAAAATTATGAATCATTAAGTAAACTTAGTATGTATGTTATGGTTGAATTGCATCTCCTAAAAAGATATGTCGGAGTCCTTACTCCTCGCACCTGTGAATGTGATCTTATTTGGAAATAAGGTCTTTGTAGATGTAGTCAACCTAAAATGAGACCATACTGGGCTAGGGTGAGTCCTGATCCAATACTGGTGTCCTTAAGAGAGAAATTTGGACACAGAGATACATAGACACACAAGGGTGAAGGCATTGTAAAGACAGAGGTGGAGGCTGAGTGATGCATCTACACACCAAGGATTGCCAAGGGTTGCCAGCAACAACCACTAGAAGGTAAAAGACAAGGACTGATTCTCTTCTACAGCCCTCAGCAAGAGCATGGTCCTACTGATTGATTTCAGTCTTCTGGTCTCCAGAACAGAGAGAATAAATTTCTGTTGTTATAAGTCATCCAGTTTGTGGTAATTTGTTGCAGCAGCACTATGAAACTAAAACAATGTTCCAGAAACATTTATTCATTTAAACCTCACCACCACCCTAGGAGGCAGGAAATATTACTATCCCTATTTTCAGACACAATTTCTTTTTTTTTTTTTTTTTTGTGCTGGCCGGTACAGAGATCTGAACTGGTGACCTTGATGTTATAAGGCCACACTCTAACCAAATGAGCTAACCAGCCAGCCCTCCTAGGTACAATTTCAATATCAGGTCTAAACTGATAGAGAGCAGGCTTTCAACCTGGGCTGCCTGGATCAAAGCCCATGTTCTTAACCGCCAGACCAAACATCCCCCTTCTACTCCTTGGATAAAGAAATGGCTCTTTCCTAAATCTGAAAGAGGAAACTTAGGTACCCACCAGAATGGCTATAAAAAATAAAACAGAAAATAACAAGTCTGTTGAGGGAGATATGGAGACATTGGAACCTTTACACCCTGCTGCTGAGAATGTAAAATGGTGCAGCCACTTTGAGGAACTGCCAGTCTGGCGGTTCCACATGATCCAGCAAAGTTACCACATGATCCAGCAATTCTACTCCTAGATATAAGCAAGAGAAATGAAAATATATATCCACACAAACACTTGTACATGAACATTGTTCATAAAAGCATTATTCACAATGGCCCCAAAGTGGAAACCACCCAAAAATTCATCAAATCATGAGTGGATTAATAAAAAGTATAGTACATGCATACAATAGAGTATTATTTAGCCACAGTAAAAGAACTAAGCATTGAATATGCCACATCATGGGCTTCAAAAACACTATCCTAAGTCAAAGAAGCCAGACATAAGAGACTACATATTGTAAAATTCCACTTATATGAAATGTCCAGAAAAGGAAAATTTATAAAGACAGAGAGTAAGGAGATCAGTAATGGGCTGGGGCTGGGAATGAGAGATCTTACTGGGGGATGAAAATGTTCTAGAATTGACTTATGGTGATGGTTGCCCATTCAGTAAAGTTACTAAAAATCATTGAATTGTATACTTGAAATGAATGAATTGTATGATGCATAAAATAAGGCTGTTTAAAATAAATTTATGTTATAAGGACCTATATAGGTCAAGAGCCAGACACTGCAGAACTATTTTGTTATTTTTTTAGAGCAGAGTGATGACACTATTCAGGTTTTCCAAACAGCTTTTAACAATAAAGCACTTTACTTATTTATCTGAACTTTAGCAGCACAAAAATACTAGTAAAACTTAGAACTGAAGTAGTGCACAGCCAAAACCAAAATTTTATTTGGACATTTAGAGGCTAGGAAGCCACCATCCACACTCTTCAGAATCTCTGAGAAGTTGTTTAAGAACCAATTAAATAACGACATCTGTTCTTCCTCATCTTAACATCACCTCCAACACAGTCTTCAGCCTGGTGATGGTGACTCCTCTGCTCAGGTCCAGCCTTCCCCAGCTGGAGCTCCTCAGGCACGGCAGATGGCCACAGCTTCTCTGGCTTTGCTTTCCTTGCCCAAGAACGTATCCAAGGAGGCACTGTGGTGTAGGCAAGTGGCTGAAGCAGAGCCACCTGACAGAGCTCTCTCTGGAAATGCCTTTTCAAGCAGCCTTGGGGATAGGCAAACCTTTCTCCTAACTCCTCAATGTATATATTGGTGACTCCTCCTTTGGGAGATTCTGAAGGCTCGAGCCTGGTCCAACTACTTTCCCTTTAAAAGGGGTAACTGAAGCAACAATGCTTCTGCCTGGCTTTCCAGGGAGAACTTCATCTTATTCTAGGCCAGTGAGATGAAGAAGCCCCCGGAAGAAACCAAGCAAGGCAACAGATTCCATCCTTTCCCAGTCCTCTCTTGGTCAGGACTTCAGGCCCATCTTGGCCATCATTTCTTCGTAGACTGTCCATGCCATCGCTGCCATCAGAGTTCTGCGGAGAGCCCGGGGGACACCACCTTGGAAGAAGCCATGCAGCCCATACTCCTATGATGAAAATATGTGTCAACATTACATAACCAAAGTATCAATACACTTAATTATCCACTTGGCACCAGAGTAAGGATCTCTGTTACTCCATCTGGAGCCTTAGTTTCTAAACTTTATGCAAAAACTATGAATAGCGAGTCCAAGGAGATAATCAATGAACTTAAAAAAAATTTTTTTGCATACTTGCTAGGCTTTACCTTTTTAGGCCTGCTCTATCTAGGGTAATATCTTAGCTGAAAATCTTTATGCAGGGTTGCTGTGTACAACAACAAACTTCTATGCAGTTTGTGCACTGCATAGAAGCACTAAGCCCCAAATAGCAGATGAAATCCAGACAGAGATTAACAAACTTCTATGCAGTTTGTGCACTGCATAGAAGCACTAAGCCCCAAATAGCAGATGAAATCCAGACAGAGATTTGCTTGTCAAACACCGGATCCTGTCTCTAGGCTGAAGAAAAAAGTGCCTTCCTATTATTTGTCCTATCAGGAGGTAATTCACTGTAAGCTCTCAATAATTCGTAGTTCACTGTATGTTCTTGGTGGCCATATCTTTATAGTAATTCTTCTTCCTCCCTTGTAATCTGGATTGATTCATAATTACACATATATTAAAGAATATATAATTTTAAAATTTTAACACAGAAGACAGGACCCAGAGCTGCCCACCATGACCAGGGAGGCACAGACAAGTAAACAACCGAGGCAGCCCACCCACTGCCCACACAGAAAACAGAAGCAAGCATCATGACCAGGAGGCCCTGCACCATGTAAGTGGTTCACAATAGCCACCACCATAGCTTCTACTGCTACAAGGATGGCTAGTCCCCATGGTAACAGCAACAGCCACCATGCAGATAGCCTGCCACATATTTGACTATATTGACGCAGGGAGAGTCTTTCCCCTCAAAGTGCACTCCAGAGCAACAGAAGAAGCAAGTGATCTACCAGGTGAATAGAACTCAACGTAGACATATCAGAAATATGGGGGAAAAAAAAAAAACCCAAGGAAATATGACACTGCCAAACGAATTTAGTAATTCTCAATTTCCAGACCCTACGGAACAGAAAACCCTTGAAATAGCTGAAAAGGAATTCTGAATAACAATCTTAAGGAAACTCAGTGAGAAAAGGGAAGACTCAGATAACACAATGAAATGAGAAAAAATATCCAGGATATGAAGGAAGAAATTTACAGAGATTAATACCTTAAAAAAGAATGTAGCAGAACTCATGGAACTGAAGGATTCATTTGATAAAATTAAAACCATGACCAAGAGCTTAAGTGGCAGATTAGAGCAAGGGGAAGAAAGAATATCTGATCTCAAAGACAGTCTTTATGAAATAACCCAAGCAGACAAAAAAAAAAAAAAAAAAAAAAGGAAAAAAAAAATTTTAAAAAATGAAGAAAGTCAGGGCTGGCCCGTGGCTCATTTGGGAGAGTGTGGTGCTGATAACACCAAGGCCACAGGTTCGGATCCTTATGTAGGGATGGCCAGTTAGCTCACTTGGGAGAGCATGGTGCTGACATCAAGTCAAGGGTTAAGATCCCCTTACTGGTTATCTTTAAAAAAAAAAAAAGAAGAAAGTCTAAGAGAGCTAGCAGACAACCTTAAGTAGACAAACATCTGAATCATGGGTGTTCCAGAAGGGGAGGAGAAGGGTGAAGGCATTGAAAATCTATTCATTGAAATAATAACAGAAAACTTCCTAGGCATAGGGACAGACACAGACCTTCAGATCCGGGAAGCTCAAAGATCCCCAAACAGATTCAATTCAAAAAGATCCTCTCCAAGATACATTATAGTCAAACTGGCAAGCTCAAAGACAAAGGGAGAAATCGAAAAGTAGCAAGAGAAAAGTGTCAAATCACTTATAAGGGAGCCCCCATCAGACTATAACAGATTTCTCAACTGAAACTCTACAGGCAAGAAGAAAATGGGATGACAGATTCAAAATACTAAAAGAAAAAAACTGCCAGCCAAGAATACAATATCCAGCAAGGTTATCCTTCAGAAATGAGGGAGAAACAGTGTATTTCCCAGACAAAAACTGTGAAGTTCCTCCCCACACAACCAGCACTGCAAGAATTTCTCAAGGGAGTTCTGCACCTGGAATCTGAAAACAATAATCACTACAATGAATACAAAAGAAAGAACAAAACCCACTGGTAAAACACAAATGCAAACAAGAAAGAAAAAGGAAAGTAAATATTTCCACCTCAAAAAACCAACAAACATCAAAGATGAATAATAGAAAGGGAAGGAAGGAAAAAAAGATATTTAAAACATCTAAACAAAAAGCAATAAAATGCCGGGAGTGAGATAATACTTCACAATAACAACCCTGGGTGTAAATGGATTAACCTCTCTCCTTAAAAGACACAGACTGATGAACTGGATTAAAAAGCTAGACCCAACTATAGGCTATCTTCAAGAAACTCACCTCACCTATAAAGACGCACACAGACTAATAGTGAAGGGATGAAAAAAGATATACCACGTAAATGGAACCCAAAAACGAGCAGTAGTAGCTATTCCTATAGTGGATAAAATAGACTTTAAACCAAAAACCATAAAAAGAGACAAAGAAGGTCACTATACGTAATAACTTCGTATAGCATACATTATACGAAGTTATACGATTCCTATAGTGGATAAAATAGACTTTAAACCAAAAACCATAAAAAGAGACAAAGAAGGTCACTATATAATGATAAACAGATCTATCCAGCAAGAAGACATAACAATCACAAATACCTATGCACCCAAAATCAACAGTACCCAGATATATAAAGCAAACACTATTAGACCTAATACTGCAATAGTGGGGGACCTGAACACCCCTCTCTCAGCACTGAACAGATCATCCAGGCAACAAATCAACAGAGAAACAAAGGATTTAAACTGCGCTTTGGACAAATTGGGCCTGGCAGATACCTACAGAATATTTCATGCAACACTACAGAATAGACATTCTTCTCATCAGCACATGGAATATTCTCCAGGATAGACCACGTTAGACAAATTAAGTCGCAACAAATTTTAAAAATCAGAATTATCTCAAGCATCTTTTCAGACCACAACAAATTAAAGTAGAAATTAATAACCAGCAAAACTCAGGACTCTATACAAACACATGGAAATTGAACAACAGGCTCCTGAATGACCTATGGGTCCAAGAAGAAATTAAATAGGAAATCAAAAATTTCTTGAAACTAACACAAAAAAAGACACATCATATCAAAACCTGTGGGATACTGCAAAAGCAGTACTAAGAGGGAAGTTTATTGCAATTAATGTTTTCATGAAAAAAATAGAAAGAATTCAAATAAACAACATAACACCAGACCTCAAAGAACTAGAAAAACAAGAACAATCCAATCCAAGTTAGTAGACTGAAAGAAATAATTAAGATCAGAACAGAACTAAATGACATAGAGACACAAAAAATAATACAAAAGAATCAATTAAACAAAAAGTTGGTTTTTTGAGAAGATAAACAAAGTAGACAAACCATTAGCTAGGTTAACAAGAACAAAAAAGAGAAGACACAAACAACAAAAATCAGAAATGAAAAAGGAGACATTACAACCAATACCGCAGAAATACAAAGAATCATTAGAGACTATTACAAACAATAATACACCTACAAATTTGAAAACCTGAAGGAAACAGATAAATTTCTGGACACATACAAACTACGAAGACTGAACCAAGAAGAAACAGAAAACCTGAACAGTAATGAGATTGAAGCAGTAATGAGCAGTCTCCCAACAAAGAAAAGCCCAGGACTAGATGGCTGTATTACTGAATTCTACCAGACCATTAAAGAGGAACTAATACAAATTCTCTTCAAACTATTCCAAAAAATTGAAAGAGGCCACACTCCCAACTCATTCCAATAGGCCAGCATTACCTTGATACCAAAACTAGACAGACACAACAAAAAAAGAAAACTACAGTCCAATATCTGATGAACATAGATGCAAAAATCCTCAACAAAATACTAGTAATCAGAACAGAACACAGCAACACAACAAAAAATTACATACCATGATCAAATGGGATTCATCCCAGGGATGCAAGGATGGTTCAATATACGTAAATCAATAAATGTGATACACCAACCACATCAACAAAATCAAGGACAAAAAATATATTTTTATCTCACTAGAGGCAGAAAAAGCATTTGACAAAATTCAGCATCCCTTCATTACAAAGGCTCTCTAGCAAATTAGCTATAAAAGGAAAATATCTCAACACAGTAAAGGCCATAAACAACAAACCCACCACCAATATCATCCTGAATGGGAAAAAGCTGAAAGCTCTCCCTTTAAAAACAGGAAGAAGACAAGGATGCCCATTATCACCACTCCTATTTAATATAGTGTTAGAAGTACTAGCCAGAGCAATCAGGCGAGAGAAAGAAATAAAGGGTATCCAGATTGGAAAAGATGAAGTCAAACTGCCCTGTCTGCAGATGACATGATTTTATATATATAAAAACCTAAAGACTCTACCAAAAAACTCTCATAGATGATTAACAATTTCAATAATGTTGCAGGATATGAAATCAACACTCAAAAATCAGTACCATTTTTATTCTCCAATAACAAGCTAGCAGAAAAAGAAATCAAGAAAGTAAGCTCATTTACAGTAGTCACCAAAAAAATAAAATATCTAGGAATCAACTTAACCAAGGAGGTGAAAGATCTCTACAGAGAGAACTACGAATCACGAATAAAAGAAATTAAAGATGGGACAAAAAGTTGGAAAGATGTTCCATGCTCTTGGATTGGAAGAATCAACACTGAAAATGTCCATACTACCCAAAGCGATCTACCAACTCAATGCAATTGCCATCAAAATACCAATGACATTCTTCACAGAAACAGAAAAAACCATCCTAACATGCATATGGAACAAACATTCCTGAATAGCCTAAGCAATCCTGAGCAAAATAAAGCTGGAGGCATAACACTACCTGACTTCAAATTATACTACAAAGCTATAGTAATCAAAACAGCATGGTACTGGCATAAACATAGACACTAAAACCAATGGAACAGAATAGAGAACCCAGAAATCAACTCACATACTTACACCCAACCAATCTTTGACAAAGGCCACAAGAACATACATTGGGAAAAAGACTGCCTCTTCAATAAACAGTGCTGGGAAAACTGGACATCCATATGCAGAAGTGAAACTAGACCTACACTCCTTGCCATATACCAAAATCAACTCAAAATACATTCAAAACTTAATTTATTTAAGACCTGAAACTATAAAACTACTAAAGGAAAACATAGGGGAAACACTTCAAGAAGGAGGACTAGGCAAAGACTTTATGAATAAGACCCCAAAAGCACAAACAACAAAAGAAAAAATAAATAAGTGAGATTTTATCAAACTTAAAAGTTTCTGCACAGCAAAGGAAACAATCAGAGTAAAAGGATAACCTATAGAATGGGAGAAAATATTTGCAAACCATACATCTGAAAAGTGATTAATATCCATAATATACAAGGAACTCAGACTACACAGTAAAAAAAAAATAACTCAATAAATGGGCAATGGATCAGAACAGACATTTTTTGAAGGAAGACATACAAATAGCCAATGGGTACTGGCAAAAATGCTCAACATCACTATTCATCAGGGAAACACATATTAAAACCACATTGAGATATCATTTTACCACAGTTAGACTGTCTATAATCAAAAAGACTGAGAATAGCAAATGCTGACAAGGATGTGGAGAAAGGTGAACTCTCCAACATTGTTGGTGGGACTGTAAATTAATATAGCCACTACAGAAACTAGTATGGAGGTTTCTCAACAACTACAGATAGATCTACCATATGATCCAGGAATCCCACTTCTGCGTATATACCCAAAGGACTGGAACCATCATATCAAAGGGATACATGCACTCCCATGTTCATCGCAGCTCCATTTACAATACCCAAGATATGGAACCAACCTAAATGCCCATCAATGGACAACCAGATAAGGAAAATGTGGTGTATATATATACAATGACATACTATTCAGCCATAAAAAAAGAATGAAATTCTGCCATTCGCAGCAAAACGGATGATAAGTGAAATAAGCCAGGCACAGATAGAAAAACACCACATGTCCTCATTCATAATTGAGAGCTAAGAGAGAAAGAAGGAAAGAAAGACCACAGTGGTGTGCTGGACTTGCAGAGGGACAAAACAGAAGTAGGGTTGCTAGAGGTGGCAGGAGGGAGGGAGAAGGGGATTGGGGAGAGGATGGGTGTGGGACATGGGGAATAACTGAGGTGGTGGGCATGCTGATCTGTATTGATCTGATCACCACATCTTGGGCACAGGTGCTGGCTGACAAGCAGCTCTGTGCCCCATGAATATGTATAGTCATAAAAATAATAAAAAATAAATAAATACAAATGGGAAAAAAATAATTTTAGGTATAGAAAAGAAGAAAGCAGGCAACCTAAATAGTGTGAGAAATAGTAGATTCACAAATGCACATTTACCTTTAACAAGAATATCTGGTTTCTGACTCTAGAGAATGTTCCAAAAGGGCCAACTCAGTGGCTTTTAAATAGTACTTTAAATCTACTGCACTTTTTATCTTCAATAACATTTGTCCACGTAATAATACCATAGAGCAAACTGCTAGAACAAAATAATGTGTTTTTGTTTTTTTCTAACTATATTTTGCTCTAGGTCCTTAATTAGAGTACTAGGTCCACCCAGATTTCCTGATTCAGTTGGTCTCAGGTACAGTCGAGCAATCTACATGTGTAACAAATATCACAGATTGTCCTATTGTAAGTACTCCTTCCCTCAAAAAAACAGGTATAATCACCCTAGATTTTGACCTAGGAGTGGGGATTTTTAGAAAATCACCTTTTTACAACCACCTTCATAATAATTGATTCAGGCAAGAATCATTAACCAATGCTAAAACATGTGGGTGAAGGAAACAGGATGTTTATATAGATTCAAAGTTATTCCACAAGGACACTTAGAAATTACAAAAGGAAAAATAATTGAGTTTCCAGGGGAGACACCTGGTAGACACTACCTTGTCCAAATGATAAAAAGTTAATATTACCCACAACAGGTCAAACTGATGACATCACCCTCCCGATATAAGGCAATGAGGACACATCACTCATGTGGTCCTCTTGTTAAAAATGTGTAACCAAATATAACCATGAAGAAACATCAAATAAACCCATATTGAGGTTAAAAAACTGGCTTACACTCCTGAAAATAAACAAAAATTGCTACAAAGTACTATTGGGACAATTAGAGAAATTAGAATATGGACTATAGATTAAAGAATTGTGTCTATATTAAACTTCCTGAATTTTTAAGATGGATATATGAGAGAATGTCCTTGTTCTTAGGAAATACACGCTGAAATATTTAAGAGTTAAGTAAAGGAGCATCATGTCTGCCACTTACTCTCAAATGGTTCAGAAAAAAAAATTATACATTGTACTACTCTTGTGGTTTTTTTGTAAGTTTAAAATAATTTCCAAATACCAAATAAGATATGGACTGAGAAGTTAAAAATGCACATCCATGCTTACTTATTGCCTTAATTTTCTGTTGCAAAATAAGGTTGTGACCTACAGGGTTACACCACCTAGTACTTGGGGAGAAGTGGCAAATCTCCCCAAGCATGGCAACTGCAGCCAATCGCCACAGTTATTTATGATGGCAGGCATTTCACCTTTCCTAATTAAGTGACCTTGGTAGCAACTCCTTGCTCAATGCAGGTTTATTCTGCAGGATTTGTTTCTAGCAACCCCTTGCTCTGCTTGGGTAGATTTTGCCCATGTCTAGCTAACTTGTGGGGTGGGACTACCAGAATGCCTGAGGTTTGGCACCTTCCTCTTCACTCAAACGGAGGTTTAAAACCACATGAATTAGGAATACAGCAAGGGAGGTAAAATAATATTTTTCTTCAAACTCCTAACCAATTGGTATTTCCCAAACTTGTCTGACAAGAATCATATCAAGCACTTCTTGAAAAATGTAGTCTCCCAGGTTTTACCCCACAGCTTCTGATCTAGGAGGCCTTGGATGGGACCCAGCAATCTTTTTCTTTTCTTTTCTGGCAGCTGGCTGGTACAGGGATCTGAACAGTTGACCTTGGTGTTACCAACACCACACTCCAACCAAGTTAGCTAACCAGGAACTCCACACTCCAACCACCACACTCCAACCAAGTTAGCCCCTAACACAGGAATCTCAGCATCGAATCTGGGAAGTATTGTTGCAAGAACTCTGCAAAACATGCTTTATTTCTCACCCATCTCCCACCCCCAAATTACAGTAGTTTAAGTACTCTTTGCCTTAATAGGATATAAACTCCAAAGGGCAGGGACCAACTCAGTCACATACACCTTTGCACCCCAGCTCCCAGCCCCGTTCCTGACACAATCCTGGTGTGGCTCAGTTTCTAAAAATCTCCTAAGAATCTGGAGCTGTTAAGGAAAACAAATTAATATCCTCCCCCCCAAAACACAGAGAGGATCTTATGTCTCAGGGCTATTGCTTCCCCACCACACCATCCTTTACCCATACCGTGGGGCATGATGTTTTTGGTCTGATTGTAAAACATCAGGTAGATTCCTGAAAAGGGTGCATCACGAAGGAGAGTCGCTGTGAGGCCACTGAAGAGGCCCCGGTGCCCCTCATTGCGGTAGATGCTCCTCAGGGCTGCGTAGATGCTCTCATAACCATATCTCCCACTCTGCAAAGAGAGCACAGAACCAGTGATCAACCCAGAGGCCCTCCATTTGAGCACTGAGCCAAGCAGACTTCAGGTTATGTGGCATTACCAGGGCACCATGGGCTCTAGTTCACACATGGCTTGGCCTGCCTACACAAACGAGTTCTCTGACCACATCAGACTCTACGTTAGATTATAAGTTGGGAGCTGCCATCAGTGGTCACTACCCACGAGCCCAGTGGCTCTGTTTACCCACCCTGAGTCCTTAACGCAGCCAAACTCACCTCATAGCGTGTCTTGATCACAGTGACAGGTGACATGCATACCCCTACAACAGAGCGAGAGCCCACCCCCAATATGACCGACTCCAGGGCAGTGGGGGGATGGCCTCGCAAAAAATACTGCTTCAAAGAGTAGAGAGTGCCAAAGTAGATTCCAACACCAGGGACACATCTCACAATGGACTGCAGAAAAAATCAGAGGGAGGAAAGAAATCAAAGACCCAACATTGTAAGATACTGTCTTAGCTGGGTTTTTCCAAAAACCTCAGGATGATTTGCCTGTAAATGGTTTATTTAAGGTGTGGAGGGAACATCAGTAACAGAGTAGAGGAAGTGAGACAGGAGGGAAGACAGCCAATAAAGGGTGTGCTATAAAACCAGTTACGCTACAGGCAACTTAATCCCTCTGGGGAACTCTGGGAGTCTGTGTAGAATACAACTCCAAGTCATCCCTCCACCTGAGGGGGGAGGAAGGTGAGGCTGTAATATTAACTCCCATCTTTCAGTGGTTGAGGGTTGCTGTGGGTTTGGGGTGAGCATCAATTCCTTGGCACTTCAGCAAAGTGAGTCTCTAGGGCCAGAAAAAACTTTCGGGCAAAGAAATGTGGTGATGGCATCCCCAACCCACTTTCACTGAAGTGGTAGGCCAAGGATATACTGACAAGCGGGGGCGCCAGCTGTGTCTGCTGTAGACTATGCTGTGCTAACAAATCATATCTGAGGTGTAAAGATGCAACATTTCCCTGAGCCTCAAACAGAAGTCAGTGACAGTAAGAGAGATGGGCAGGAAGACCACATAGATACTCCCACACTTCCTATTCTCATGTGTCCTTAAGAGCTTGTGAGGTGGATGAGAAATGGCTGGTTATCAAAGGGCAGGATGTGAGGGAACCCAGATCCAGAAGACAGCTTACAGGGGACATCCCTTTCCAAAGGCCCAAAATACTCTCCGTGCGAACCACCTTCAAGAGTACAGCCAACATCCCAACACGTCTGGACCTGAAGGCAGACAAAATGGAGATAGAGAAGGAAAACAATCACTCAGCCTACTTCCTCATAAAAGAATCCCCCAATCAAAGACTTCTTTGTACAGACTGTTTTCTAGAACACTTAAGAATCTCTACAATGCGTTTTGGAACTACTCTGACTTCCTGTATGTTCATGGTTTCACACCCGTTTATCTGTCCGTTTACACTGCATACAACAGGATAACCTCCCATTTTATGTATACCTTATATACTTCCCACAATGCTGAGCTCATTATAGGGGCACAAACAGACACTCATATTGACATTATTTCCAGAAAATTGCCCACTACTCATACCAGGCAGTACCATTATAACATTACAAACTAGCACAATAAAATACAAATATCACCGAGGCAGATGCCAGGGAGCTTCTCAAGAAAGGACCCCATTTAATTAACAAGAAACATCAAGTATAAAAAGATATTCACAGAAAATATATACAAAACACACAAAAGTTGGGCATGACTTGTGTTTCTCTCGAGTATTCAACAGAATGGAAGTTTATAAAACACAGTGAAGATGCTTCTGTCTGAGAAGCTGTTGAAACCAGCTCCTCAGTGAAATGTGGGGCAGCAGGCCCTACCCATGATCTGAGGGCTGTAGAGTCTGCAGGCGTGTTTTAAGGAGATCCAGAGGCTGGAAAAGGAGAGTAGAGCAGGTTCCACTGATGGAGCCACACAGGAAAGCCTTGATCACTGGATGTAACTGCAAGGAAAGAGAACAATGCGTTAGCCAGAAATGAACATTACTGGAATGTTGTTGAGGATACTGTACACTGCCAGAGGTGTCTCTCTGGTTCTAGTACTGTTAATAATCTTGCTCCTACTGAGCAACATATCTATTTCCATGCCACTTGACCACACTTCCCTATTTGTCCTGCCACAAATAGTTACTAGTCATCTCTTTATCTTTCTAAAAACAAAATCAATTGAACATAATGTTTTAACTCTGAACTATTAGTTTCCAGGTTATTTTGGCTTTAGAGCCAGTAAATATTTATAGGAACAAGCCAAAGCAAATGAAACCTTAAGCTCAGTCACTTCCTGTATAAGCTATGAATTTCCTTCGTTTGAAACTTTTCCCTTGTCTTACACCTTCCCATCTCACTGGGACCTAGCAGATCACAGCCAGCTACAAGCCAAAGCAAATGAAACCTTAAGCTCAGCCACTTCCTGTATAAGCTATGAATTTCCTTCATTTGAAACTTTTCCCGGGGCCGCCCGGTGGCGCACTGGATAGTGCGCCGCTTGGGAAGCGCGGCAGCGCTCCCG